ACTACTACTACTACTACTCATCCTCATCCTGCTGCTCCACTGCCACTGCTACGGCTGCTGCTGCTACCACTACTGCAGCCGTTGCTGCCCGTACCGCTGTTGCTACTGCCTCGGCAATCCCATCAAGTACTACCACTCACCCGTTTTGGTAATGACCTAGCCTGGGTACTATAGTAAGGAAACCCAATTATTCTTTACCCATACCATGGTAACGTAATTTCAGCTTCTCAACAGCAACCGCATCATTTACTCTAAACCCATACTTTAGCAACTTAATTTCAGGTTCTTAACAGCAGCCCTGTTATTTACTATATACCCTAAACCGTAAACCCTAACCCCTAAGCCCTAAACCCGAAATCCTCAACCAACCCAGAAGCCTTTGAACCCATGCTCAGGCTGACGCAGCATTGCGGGCCCTCCGAAGATGGCCGTGCGCAGGGAAGGCATTATCCAGCTGACCTGCCTTAGGGGCTTAGGGTTTAGGGTTTAGGGCTTAGGGTTTAGGGCTTATGGTTGGGGTTTAGGGCTTAGGGTCGGGGTTTAGGGTTTAGGGTTTGGGTCTAAGGGTTTAGGTTTTAGGGTTTAGGGGTTCCTAAGGAGGCTGTAGGTAGAGTTGTCAACATGGCAATCAGAATCATGACCATATTTGCATGTAGAATTACAAAAGAACATCTAGTTTCTGGTTTTACTGGGTGTTCGTTGTATGACGTCGACACTTCTTTTTGTTTCGATGTCTCCTGGCTTTGCTAAACCGCCTTCCACCCTCAACCCCGAACTCCCCAAAATAGACTCCCAAAGCTTATTGTCCTTATAATAAGATTTCCGAGAAAAAAAAGTACTACCACTTCTGGGGCAGGCCATACGGGACCGTATAATCCCAGTTTCCATTTCAAGTTCCAAGGTATCTTTCCTTTGCTTCTCCATCTTAGGGGCAAAAGCCCTCAACCCTTAACCCTTTATGCATGCAATCCGTGTTGGCAACCCTCTTTATAACAACCAGTAAGAGAGAGCTTCAGCGCAAAGCCAGGCGCCGAAGCCTCCTGCACGGCCCTCCGGGTTAGAGCCGCCTTACCTGGATGCTGGGAGCTTAGCAACGATTTGGTAGTTTCCCAAAACAAGGGGACCCCAATATAGACCCCAAAATACTATAGTCCTTATTATGGGGATCCCTAAAAAGGTACCCCTAATTTTGGGAAACCCCCATTTAGGATTTTTGATTTTGTGTTTTTTGGATTTAGGGTTTGGGGTTTACGGTTCAGGGTTAAGTGAAAGACTTTGGATGGACAGAATCCTGCATGACCTACAATATCCTACAATTCTTGAGCTTTGGAAATTGGGTATAAAGGGCTATAGGGCTAGGCAGGATTTCATCCATCGATGTTATAATTGACAGGATTAAGGGCTACATTTCAGGGTTTACGGTCAAATCATACAGAAGTTGTCTGATTAGACAGACATGTTGTGATGAAGATACATGCTCATTCTTCCTAAGCCCCATAAACGCTAAACAGGATTTACGGTCTAGGGTTGAGGCTTCAGGGGTTCATGGCCCATGGCGGTTGGGTTGAGTTATGGGTCTCACACTTTTGGCTTGAAAAGGTCGAGTTCATCAAAGGCATTTCCTCAAACAATGAGGATCTTGAGCAGACGTAGTTGCACAAGAACATGATCCCGCCCTTCTGGAATTTCAAGCTTATCTGACTTGGTGATGGCTTTGAAGAAGAGGATGGAAGTTGTTCAGGTCGTAGGCCTGTTCGCGACGTGTGTGCCGTTGTGCGTGTGTATCTTACTTGGGGACTTGTGGCAAAACAACTGGAAGCATCGCAAGAAAAGTCTTGCCCCTGCTCAAGATCACGTGGTCGTTGTTGGGACATCCGATTCTCTCCTAGATGTCGTATGCCAGGTGGGATGGTCTGGCATCAATGAACGGTACCCTCCCCAAAAGAGCGTCCTTCGGCCCTTAACTCAGGGAACCTCTATACTCCTACTTGAAGGGCGCAACTCCAACACAGGACCCCACTTTCGTCCATCCGGATCAGCAGAACCAGGGTGAGCGCGAATGGCTCATGACTCTTGGCT